GAATTTCTTGATCAGTTAATTTAGCACATTTTTCACATTTATCCACTTTTTCAAATTTAACTCAGTCAAATTCACTGTCAATTTTTCCCGCGGTGGCTGGATTATCTCATTTAAATGGTAAATCCGGAATGCCTCAACCTTTTTTCTCCGTTCAAATTAGATGATTGAATAATTGACATTCAATTCAAATTCTAACTTCTTTACCATTTAATTGTTCTTCTAATTTTTTTTGTTCATCTTTTAAATTTCCATAATCATTCCTTCAATTAGGGTTATTATCTTTGTTATTTCAAACTACTTTTAATTGTTTTTTAATTAATTTGATATTTTCTTTTAATTCTGATTTGTTTACTGGACTTTTCATTATATTTTAATTTTAGTAATTATTAATTTTAACTCTTATTTCCTAACTTCTTTATCTATATTATATATTTTAGTGTTTTGGAATGCTACCCCTCCCAGTTTTAGAGTTTTTTTTACTGATAACTAGCGGAGAATGGGAGGGTTAGCGAGTTTTTAACCCTTAATTTTTTAGTGGATTTTTAAGTTGAAAATTAGGGGTTTTTTAACTATTTTTAGTAAATAATAATATTATATATATTATTTATTTCTGACCTTTTGGAGTTTATTTCCGTCCTTTTGGGAAGAATAGAGGTTGTTTTTTATTTTTTAACCCAAGCAAAAGCACTCATGAAAATGCTACTTAATCTTAAATTCATAATTCAATCCTAGATTTTGTAATTTTGTCACCAAGAAATAAACATCTTCTCTTTCTCGAGCATAAATAAATATTTTATATTCATCCTTGTTTTTCCTAGCTGTAGAAACTGCGATTTTAGCACTAAGACTACCCTTTATTGCTTCTGCCCTAACCAATTTTCAAGCCCGATCAATATTTTCTTTTCCAATTGAAAAAATTATCCTCCGTTCTTTATTATCTAAGTGAACTCAATCTACATCTTCATCGAAATTAGTAGTGGGGTTAAGTAGTTTTAGTAAATTATTTCTATCTATTTCTGATGATAAATTTTCTTCTATGAAAGGAAAAGTTTGTTCATCCATGATTTTTCAAAACAGATTATCATGTGAATTTAAATGTTTTTCTTTCTCTAATTCTCTTTTTCAAACATGAGCTAATTCATGGGCTAAGGTTTTAAAAATTAAGGCTCGGCTATTTCTATCTAATCTAAGGTAAATCTCATATCTCCCTAGAACTTTATTTGGAGAACAAAAACCTTTTCTAGGGTCTTTGGTATTTCTTGGAAAGTTTCTATCTCCTATTTTGCCAAAAAATACTTTAATTTTTAGATTTCTTGCTTCAGCAAATAAGTTTGTTATTCTTTCAGCTTCTAATTCTATGATTTCTAAATTCATAATTATTAATCATTGTCTTGATCATATGGATCATATCCAGGGTCAATTTCAGGATCAGTTGGTTTATCTGGATCTTGAGTTGAATCTATTTCAGGATCAGTTCCATCAGGGTCTAAACTTGGATCAAAATCAGGGTCTGGCGAGACATCAACATCAGGAACGTTGATTTCTGCTTCTCCCGAGCCAGTTGGAGTAGGGGTTAAATTACCGGAAGTAGGGAATTGGTTAGGGTTGAAAGGAGTAGAGGGAACGCTGGCGGGAGTAATTCCAGTGGCTGGCAGCACATTGCTTGATGGTAATCCTTCTGGTTCCTCAATAGTTCGGTCGATTGTCACACTTCCAAATTGTTGAATTCCAATTTTATTTCGGTCTTGAAAAGCATAAATTCCTGAATTATCATCATTAGCAGTCATTCCATAACTTTCTTTCATTCCTAAAATAATAATTTTATATTCATATCGAACTCCTTTTGGCAAATAATGTTTTTTTCCAGTTCAAATTCCATCACAGTCAAATCGTCAAGAACCAACATGACCCTTTGTGCAATAACCTCCTGATTCTCCTGGACAAGAACTAGAACCAGCCGAATGAGGCTGAACAGTCATTTTTAGATAGCGAGAACCAGCTCGGTCAGTAATTAGTTCAGGAAAAATATTCGTTCCGCCACCTTCCGGTCGACAATAACTATCCATTTCCACTCATGTCATATTATCTTTTCCAACTTGCCAGTCAGGAACGACTGTTGTGTGTTGATTAGTTCTAATCTGTAATTGTTTCCAAGTTCCAGTAGAAGTTCCGCCACGGCTTCCTTGACTTTTTTTGTCCGGTAATTTTTTTAAATAAAATTGTCGATAATCTTCTTTTCAAATATTCACCCCCGCTTCTATTTTTTCACGAAACCAATTGGCATTTCTTTCCAAATTCATTGAAATAATCGAGGCTTTTAAAAATCCTTCAAATTCTAAGTGTTCTCCAAAATTAACCGAGTTGAAATAATCATAAGTCATTTTTCCTTTAATGGCCTTTCTCATTTTATATTGGTTAACCAAAGCTTCATTCAGTTCAACACGAAGGGACAAAGGATAGGTTCCGCTAATTCGGTAACGACTTTGAAACTGATACATGGTGTACTCACATTTTGTATGGTCGATAGCATAAGTATGAGGTCTTAAAAATGTTGATCCAAAACTAGGACCATTATCGTTATTTATTGTTTTATTGCTGACCGTTTGTCTAGTTCTAACTTCTTTTTTTTTAACTTCACCTCCATTAACCGAACTTTCGCTTATTACATTTCTCTCGCTTTGTCGGTTATTTTGACCCTTATCATCATTTAAAGTAGTATCAACAATACATTCGACAAATTTGTTGACAAAAGCATTTCCGCCAACTTTAGCACTAACTGACTCAGTAACTCGACTCAATAGCATACCAGAATTGCCAAAAATGTTTATAGTGGTTCCTGCTGGATTTACGAATTCTTTTATAACAAAATTTTTGTGAATTAAAAAATAACGTCCTTGTCAAATTTGTTTTTTTCTTCAATAAAGGGTTGCTTTAGGATGATATTCAAGAAAATGCTCATTTTCAGGGTCAAGAAGGTCATAACCATTTAACCAATCATTAATACTTGGTCCGGAAGGAAAAAAACCTTCTTTACCACTTTTTTCAATTTCCTTTCATTGAATTCCTTCCACTTCATCTCCGCTACTTCCAAGCCGAAATGTAGTTTCATTGTAGGCTCATGCTTTCAGTCGAGCACTTAGCAAAAAATAAACTGTTCCAACCATGGCAGTTTTAAATCTATCTCACTCCTCCACAGCAAAATCTTTTCAACTTTTTGGATTAGTTCAATCCCATAACTCTTTAGTATCTGTTTTAATATCTTCTACTATTCTTACATCTGGCGTAACTACCATTTTGAGTTCTTCATCCTCAACCACTGAGCCTACATCTAATAATTTGCCATCAACTTTATAAAGATTTAACTTTAGTTTGTAAGTAGAACCAAATTCTCGAAAACGGTTAGCAAGTTCATAATTTGGACAAGAACAAATTTCTTCCCGAGTCACCAAAGTAGTTTGTGAGTGGTGGAAAATTCCACAAACCGAACTTACCAAAAGCAAGTGATAGTAATTGTAAAAAATACTTTTTTGAGCCTCAACTGCGATTAAATTATAATTTAACTGTTGATAATCAACTACTTCATATCACTCTCCGTAGTAGTTGAAAAGATAATTTTTTAAGAGAGGTAGAAAAATCCCTTTTTTGCCATCCAATTCCTGTTCTGCCGGTCTCCAAACAAAAATTAGACTATCATCGGTTTTTTCCTCAACTCAAATTTCATAAGGATTTTCTTCAATCTCTTTACCGCCATTATGTTCTTTTCATTTAGAAATCGCACTTCTTAATAATTGTAAAGGTTCTTTATTGTGGCTGGCAGGATGAATATCTTGATATTTCTTTCACCAAGCAGAATATCATCCACAAGCATTTTCTATTTTAGAGTTTTTGACAACAGTGCTTAAAAGTGGTTGGATTTGACCAATTTGTCAATGCTCTGATTCTCGTAAAAAAGGTTCTAAGTCTTTTCTTTCATAAGCCAAACGCAAACAAAGTTCTCTTTTTTCATTTTCGAACTCTTTTTCATTTTCTGCTAACTCATCTTTACAATTTCCAATCTTTCTTTCACTAATTTTAATTTTGTTTAATAAGCACTGTTTTTCATATTCTTCTAATTCTATTTTTGGATTGTTTAAATTATGCTGATAGGCTTTTAACTCTTGTTCTAAATTTCTTAACTCTAATTTTTTTTCTAATCAAGCACGTTTGGCAGGTTTGCCTAAAAGATTATATTCATTAATGAACCAAGCTTGAACATCGGCTTTTAATTGCCGAGTTTTGTTATTTTTGATTTCTCATTGATTGATTGTTTTTTGTTGATCATCAATTTCGGATTGTCACTTTTGAAAAACCAATTTCGCAAAAGTGCTACCAGATGGTCAGTTTTCGTTGTTTTCATTGTTGCGAATAAATTTCCCTATTTCTTCAACAAAAATTCATCTAATAAAGTGTCGCATTATATAAACTAATTTTTAAAACTATTCTAAACCATCAATAGTTTTCGATAAAATTTCTTTACTTTCTCATCCTTAAGAATTGTTTTTGGGTTGATTTTGGTTTTTAACAAAACTTTTTTCTTTGCTATTTTTTATTCAATTCTGTAATTTTTGGTTAGTATTTTTTAACTGTTTTAGAGAAGAAAAATTTTGACTATTCATTGTATCCTTATTTTTCTTTCAACAAGTTTGACAAATTGGTTTTTGTAGAAAAAATAGAAAATCCCTTTGATGTTTGAAACCCGCTAATTGTAATTCATCTACTTTTTTATAACAGAAGAAGCATTTTTGTTTGGTCAATAGTTCTTGGATTGGTTTATCTAAATTCGGGGCATGAATTAATTTAATTTTAATCACAAAATAAAAATTATCCTTTTTTAACCAATAAATAAGTTGTTCCGCATTCTTTACACTTATTCAATATTTTTCTAATTTCTCCCCCTTGTTGTTTCTCTATTTTTTTTAATTTATGGTATCTTTCTTTGGCTTTTTGATTTAAGTATTCTTTCCGTTTTTGATTATGTGATTTAAAATACTCTTTGCGGTCTTGCATATAATTTTTTTTAGAGGAAAATGGAAAGGGGGAGTATTGGGAGGCTAAAGAGGGGGTCAGTGTATAAAGTGTATAAAATAAATTAAGGATGGAAAATAAACATAGCATTCGAAATCCTTATCCTTGTAATTTAGTAATTAATAAGTTAAAGTTAACTAGTTTAGAGATTAGTCAGTATTATAAAACTAGACCGGGGCGGGAAAAGATTGATGACAGTTTGATTATCAAGTTAGTAGAAAGTTTAAATGACAAAATAATTCCTCCCGACCCCGAGAAAAGACCAAGCAATTGAGATTATTTTACTTTGGAGCCTATCCTTGATGAAGAAAATAATACTTATTGCTTAGTTTGTTGCCATGAAAGTAATTCTCCAATTTGGGGAGTGTTGAACATCTATCCCATCACAGTCAAAGAAAACAATAAAGAAAATGACAAGAAAATTCAAAATGATCACTAATAACAATTTTCCTTCGGATAAAGAAATAGAAAAAATTACCAAAAAAGTATCGGCATCTAATTATCCTTATAAGAATTATATTTTGCCTTCTAATGCTAGTTCTACTAGTTCGGCGGAAAAGGCTAAATATGAACTTTGCCAAGATATATTAAAATATCAACAAGAAAATAATCTTTCAGAAACAAAATTGACCAAAATGCTTGGGGTTAATAAAGATAAATTAATCGATATTTTATTCAGTAAGGTTTATAATCTAAACTTGGAAGAATTAATAAATTATACTGATAATTTGCATATCCCTTTTGAAATCAAGATTACTAATCAAAATCAAATAAATATAAGAAAATAATAATTAATAAAAATATGGTAAATAAAGTAATAAATATAGAAATTAGCA